ACTAAGGCCTCAGGATGACTTTAAGACTTGAACATGGTCATTTTTGTTTTGTAACATTGAATACAAAATTTAAAAAAAAGTATTTTTAAAAAAAAAAGAAAAAAAAAACTCCCGATCCCCGATCTTTTTCTCCCGATTCCGATCTTTTGAAAATCACGTGATCGGCTCCGATCCCCGATCACGTGATCGGATCGGGACATCTCTAGAAATAAATATAATTGAGAAAGTTATGCAATGGTAAAGCCAATTTGATTGTGTCTGTCAGATGACTTTTGTTGCATGTCATCCCCTCTCTGTACCCCCTCCTTTCCTGTCATCTCTTATGTCTGCTATCTAAAGAAAGTTTCATTTAGCTTAACGATAATGTTAGCATGCTAATACACTAACACTGACCAACATGCTGATGTTAAGCAGGTATTTACTCTGTTCACCACCTTAGATGTGTTTGTTAGCATTCTAGCATTTAGTAAAGAACAGTGAGGCTGACTGCTATATCATTCAATTTGCAGATTGTTGGTCTTAAAAAGTACCAGATTTAATGCGATCCATTGATCATTTGTCCGGACATTTCGCTACAAAAACACAAAATATCAACCTTGTGGTTTTGCAAGTTTTAGGCATTACTAAAATAAGTAGGCTTTTTTCTCTCGGGACCATGAACATCTGTAAATAACTTTTGTGTGAATCCATCCAATGGTTGTTATATATGTCAGTCTGTGTCGACCAATCGAGCTTCAGAGCAACATTACTATTTGTTGCGCTATTACGACATATAATACCCGGCGTAATATAATATACTTTAAAAGCAAATTTGTTTTACATTTTAGTGTTTGTGAAGACAAGATGGATGAAAATTATGATTTCTTAAAATGTTTTTTATTCGACAATTGTTTGGCTTTATTTTACAAATGAAAGCAAAGAGTCAGACTGGAATTGGGAGAAGAACGAAGGGGTCATGACATTACAAAAAAGGCTCCCTAAAATCTGCTGTATATGTTAATACTTCAAAATGTCCAGATTGCTAACCCCATTGTTTTTCTGTTTCTTTATTAGGACAAAAGATGGCGAACTTGTGGAAGGAAAGGAGATTCAGGTTACGGTCTGCAAAGAGGAGAAGGTTGTCTGTGGAGTAACCAAACACACAACATGTGCAGATATGATTCAGGCGCTGCTGGATGACCACAAGTCAATCCCAGAGAGCAAGAGGCTCCTGCACGGGGAACCCAAAGACTTCTGCCTGGTGGAGCGCTGGAAGGGTTTTGAGAGAGCCTTGCCTCCTCTCACCAGAATCCTGAGACTCTGGTACGCCTGGGGCGACCAGAGACCCTTCATCCAGTTTACTCTGGTCAAAATAAGCGATTTTGTGCCTCAGCCCGCCAAGAAGGCTGGAAAGCCAAAGGGCGCCAAGCCAAAGCGATGGGAGCACGGTCAGCTCACCCAGCCTCTGCCGGTGGAGAGGCAGAAGCGCCTGGTCAAGAAAGCTTTCCGGAAACTGGAGAAGATTCACAAGGAGAGCAAGAGTTCCCCGGGTTCTGACGAGGTCGACCGGATGGTGCAGCTCATTCTCAACCAAGACCACACCATCCGGGAGCAGATCCAGCGCATCAGGGATCTGGATTTGAACGTCGAGCAGTTTGAGGTGCAGAAGGAAGCCGAGAGTTCATCGGCTCAGGCTTCAAGTGAGAGTTTGGAGGCACACAGTGAGGAGCAGCTGCAGGAGTACCTGTACACGAGCGATGGGGTGGAACAGCTTGATCTGCAGATTCAAAGGCACCAGGACCTCATCCTCCAGCTGTCCCGGGACATTGACTCTGAGCTAAGGACGGGCGACTTCCCTCTGAGCCAATATGAGGACAGCGAACAGGAAGGAGCCGCGGCTGCTTCCTGGATCCCCTCGGACACCGACGAATCGTTCTACACAGCTGAACTCGAGAGGTTGCAGGACGAAGTGAAACACAGCCTCTTCACCGGCGTTGCCCTTCACAACCAAACTGCAGAAATAGACAAGCAGTTGAAGTACTTTGACGCTACGCTGGTCTCCAAGGATCAGGAATGCTGGCAGCTGGCTGCTCAGCTGAGCTCAATGCAAATTGGGGATGGAAGAAAAGAGGAGGAGTCCAGTGTCGCCCCTCTGAAAAGTGAGACTCAGTGCAGCGTCTCTCAGACAGTGAAACTCAAACACAGCCTGTCCCCTCTAGACATTACAGACACAGACTCAGACACTGGGATTAGCTCCACACACAGCCAGGACTCGCTGTCACCGTGTCTGGACTTCCCTCCCCCCCTCGACACAGACGTTTGAACAACCCAGTTGACCCTGCAGTTTATTGTTCTGTATGCACAGTGTGTGCCTGACGTGTGTTATCATTACATTCATGGAACAGAGCTAAGCAACGTTTTCTTCTGAACGACCCCGGACTATTATTTAGGAAACACAAAGGTAATTCAGCTGGAAACATTTAGATCAGACAGAAAATGATTAGCAACTTTGTTGACTGTCGTTTTTAATGAAATGTGTAAAAATGTTTGGTATCGGCTTCTCAGATGTAAGTTCATGCTGAGTTGTTATCAAGGTATTGCAAATATTGTTTGTGTTTTAGGCTGCTGGTCAACAACATAATGTACGGGAGCGGATTATGGCCACGACAAAAAACAGAATTCTGTAATTAAAGTCAGATTCCCAAACTTTTTTTTATTAATATCTGTAAAAACATGAATTAATTAATAAATTATTATTCTTTATGGTCAGCCGTATTTATCGACAATGCTATTTTCTTAGCAAACAATGATTAGGTCTCTGATTCTGATGTAATGAAAACATGCCAGGGGACACACTGGAGTTATGTGTGTGCCAGCTACAGTCCATTACTTTTGATGTTGGCTGGGTTTCCAGACTTGTAAGTGTACATTTTTTCACCAAAAAAGCAAAGACTACTTCCTAGGTATAACCATCCTTAAGGTGTGTTACCCTTAGTTACGTAAGCATTGTTTTTGTAACACTCAATAATGGTGAATGTATGCTTTTTTCCCTTTTGTATGTTTTAAGCTATTAATGAAGCTGCACTTCTTCGTACACACGTATAAGTCTATTAACAATGTTTTATATTAAAACAGATAGTTGTCTTGGATGTAGAATTTAAGATGTGTAAGAAACATTACATTCCTCCTGACTACACTGTAAATACACTTCTGTATCCGCTATAAATGATTGTTTTTTTATGACACAGGCACAATGAGTAAATTGATTAAAAAAAACAGAAAGATATTTATTTAGAGATGAGATATTATTACTATGACTGTTTAAACTCGGGGACAATAATCTCTATCTGTCACTTACCAAGACTTTGTATTAAGGGCCATTATGACACAAATGTCTGGACAATATCTGTTCAAACACACAAACGATGTAAGAGTTAAATGTGCATTTCAGCTTTCATAATAAACACTAATACTGTAAATGTTGCAAAGAGTAATCACTCTGTATTATTGCTTATGATTTTATGAATTATTGCCATCTACAAGAAGGTACAGGGTCCCATGATTCAATTATGGTTCCCTCAAGTACTCTTTTGTGCAGCTGTCAATCCTACAATTCAATACAGAGTTTAATTACATTACATATTTATCCAAAGTGACTTACATACATTCAATACTGTGGGCAATCCCCACAGGAGCAATTTGGGGTGAAGTGTCTCAGGGACACAACGACATGCTGACTGCAGTGGGACTCGAACTTGCTACCCCCTGATTCGAAGTTCAGCGCACTATCCACTGAGCCACAGCCTCCTAGGTCAAATGTACTTAAAATGGTCTTAAACATATTATCCTTAGTGATAGCTATGTTAGAGAGGCCTTATTATGTTTTTGGGGGTTTCCCTTTCCTGTGTGTTATATAGGTTTCTGTGCATGTACATTGTCTGCAAAGGCCACAATCCCAAAGTTCCCTCCAGAGGGAGTTTCTGTCCCAAACACTTCCTGCCTGAAATGCCTCCATTGGACTCCTTTGTTTACTTCTGTAACATAATGACATCACTATATAACACTTAGGCTTCACATTGTGGGTGATAGAGATGTGTCAGAAAATGCCCCGCCTCTTAGCCGAAGTGGTTGACCAATCACAACAGAGCCGGCCAGCAAACCAATCAGAGCGGACTGGGCTCTGGTTTCAGACAGAGGGTGAAAAGAGGTGCTGCAGCACAGGCAGTATGAGAAAAATGAAGAGCTTTTTGAACATTAAATCATGGAGACATGTAGAGACACTACATACTGATATACACCTGAACATCAGCAGGAGAGGACTCTTTAAAGTAGAGACACTACATACTGATATACACCTGAACATCAGCAGGAGAGGACTCTTTAAAGTAGAGACACTACATACTGATATACACCTGAACATCAGCAGGAGAGGACTCTTTAAAGTAGAGACACTACATACTGATATACACCTGAACATCAGCAGGAGAGGACTCTTTAAAGTAGAGACACTACATACTGATATACACCTGAACATCAGCAGGAGAGGACTCTTTAAAGTAGAGACACTACATACTAATATGAACCTGGAAATGAGCGTAATAGGGACTCTTTAAATGTTGTCTCCATGTTTCTTGTCTTATATATTTGTCCTTGTTGATGTTGCAAATGGAGCTGATGTGAAGCAAGCTAAAATTCACACATCAATGCTGCTGTTCTAGAAGCAGTCAATGGTAAAACTACAAGGACAAAACAAGTCAAGGTGCCACACTGTACAAATTCCTCAAAGCCTTGAGTCACCAGACAGAAGTGACACAGCTAGTAAGAGCCCTCTTCCAGTCACTGCAGCATATAATCAGACAAGATGGTCGCCAAGCAGGCACAAACAACAGCGAGCCCTCTCCTGTTGTCCAGCTCCTGCTGACAGACTAACACTTTGTACTCGGCTGGCTGCTGGAGAAGCAGAGGATATCTATTTCACATACTAATTGCTTGAACCCCCCCTTGTTCGTCCTCCTTCACCGCTTCTAGCCACTAAGTAACTCCACCAAGCATGAAAGGCCACAGATCTTGTGAACAACCTTGCACCAATGCCTCCCACTTTTTGATGCTAAAATATGCAAAAAGTACCATAATAAACCCCTTTTCCATTACGGTACTTTTCACTAACAGGTATGCACCAGGCTGGAATAAATGGGGCATTTCGTAGAGCTTATATTCTAATGCAAATCAGACCTGTCTTGAGTTGGTGGAAATGTTAAAGGAAAGGAATGTTGAATAACTGAGTCTGTTCAAGAGAGGACTACTCTCAGTTAGCCTCATTATTTTATGACAGACGTGTTGAGGCACCTGCCGCTCTCAAATGGAAATACGTAATGAAACTAGCGGGGGACTCAAGGAGCACAGACCTCAGCGAAAATCGTATCCAAGAGTGGAAAATAATGTGTGTGTCCGCCCCTTGATTTGCTTCAAAATGTAATCGGTTCTTCCTTGACATATGCATAATTCTTCTTAAAGAGTTTCATGAAAATCAGGCAAGTAGTTCTTCTGTAATCGTGTAACAAACCAACAAACTGGATTTAACCCCCATTGGCTGATATTTAAAGTCACACTGTGAACGTGTACCTACATATTGAACAAAATAAAGTCAGTGCATCTTTGTTATTTAATACAACACCATCACTGTACTCTAACCCCCAACTGTATTGGTCACACACTTGTTCGCCCATCAATACTTTAATTTCAGCAACAAACAAGTTTCACACAGAAAACCAACTTCAAATCTACACTCTAAGCGATAACTAGCTAATTTAATATTTCTCCTACTTTTTTTAACCAAACGAAAAAACCAAAAGTAGATTAACTAAGGGTTTACATTTCCAATCTTTTGGCAGATTATAAAAAACCTAGAAACAGTCTTTACTCTAAGACAGGAGCATTACATTCTCCAGTGTATCAGAGTCTTTGGAGTAGTCTGGTTATACTTTGTCCCCAAATAAAAATGCAGTCTTTGCGTTACAGAGTGACTTCATTTCCAGAGAGGCTGAAGCTTGTTTGCTTCTTCACGTTGCCGCAGACCAGCAATTCAAACACTTGCCAACTCGCAAGTGTGTTAGCAGACAACAATAATTACATTGACCAAAATGCCAATTAGACTGACTGCAAACCTGTCTTCGTTCAGCCCTCACAGTCACAGTTACCATGACTGGGCAGCTTGAGTAAACCATCATTTGTTTTCAACTGCAGTTCAAGTGCTGACGGTGAAGGCCTGACATTTTAAACATCTGTGCATTGACCCAGAAACACACTTTAAAATGTGTAACACCAAACACAGTATATGGACCATGTATGACTTGTTTATCTGGTTTTTTTTGTCATCTTAAATGCACCCATTTATTTTTGCACAGACCTTTGGAGGAAGCTGAGAGTCAGGAAGACGTGAAGCTAACCTTGTTCAATCTTGTTGGGAAGGTTTTCGCCAGTGAGGGAAAATAATAATTGTTAAGAACTCAAGACACTTAGGAGGTAGGACCCAATTGCACGGCCCGGGAGACAGAGGTAAAGTATTTGTAAGATACTTTATTTTATCAAAAACAGCAAAATGAACAACAAAAAATGGTCACGATCAAATCTAGCTGAGATGACAAAAATGAGAACAAAAAGAAAGCGCTCACGTAGTGAGGATCAAAACTTTACGAGAGCACAAAAAGAGCATAGACCTGACCATGGCAAGAGACAAGCGCATAGACCTGACCATGACAAGAGACAAAAACGAACTGAACACTGGGAAACAGGGGAATTTAAACACAGGATACAAGAAACAGGTGGGAACAATCAGGGGCGGGGCTGACACTGATGAGCACAGGAGACACAGAAGGGATGACAGGTGAAAACAATCAGGGGCGGGGCTGGTGCTGATGATTCTGGAATGACAGGTAAACGGTGAGTGACAAAACAAAACAGGAAGTGGAAGACAATACAACCAAAAAACAACATCAAATCTCAACATTTCTGTCGGTGCATAACAATAATTGGCAATTTACACATTTCAGCAACCTTTATTTAGCACAATCTTTGCACAATTTTGATGCAAAGAAAACCTATTTTGTCTGAGGTTATAAGTGTTAGATCCTAGTCCACACAGCTGTGAATAGATCTACCAATGTATGTCCCTATTTATAATTATTATAAAATCATATATGGTCTTGTCTTAGTCAAATAAAAGCATATTTCTTTTAAATTAGTTTGATACGTTAATGCTGTACGGTCCGGTCCGGTCCAGTTCATCTTATTCATGGAAGTTTATGAAAATATTTGTAAGGAATAGTTTCAATACCAAAATTAACCAACCTTAAATATAACTGAACCCTCTTATAATTGAAGATCTTATATATGAATATATTTCATCAGCCAATGACATTGGATTGTTTGAAAAGCAATTTGCAAGCTATTATTTTGAAGAAGATTTATTATTTAAAACACATTTACGTTAAGGCTACTTGACATTTGGAAAGCTGCATGATGTCCAGAACTACTGACCAAATTCAATGTTAAGGTTTATGGACAACAGTTGGACAAGACAGCAAAAGTTGCCTCGGAGTAATCAGAGTATTTCAAAACTTTTGAAAGGCTCGGTCGGCATAATCACACATAATCAAAAGAGACACACAGCACATTGTGCATGTGCCAGAATATGCTCTGCATCTGTTCCCACAACACGCCTGACAGTAAATCTCATTTGATTACGTGTGATTATTTTTTGTTTATGCCAAACAAGAATCTTTCCAATCCTTCTTGCATCAATTAAATTAACCTTCTTCTGCCGTCATTTACTGAACTGGAGCGCTGATTTGTTGACAGCGAGTTCAGAATGAAATGACACAAAAGCAGTGGATTAGTGTAAGTGATGTTCATGCGGTGACCCTGCAGTGCTCCCACCCGCCATATTTGCATCAAAGTTGGACGAGTCAGGACTTGTGAAAGCGGTTCAAGGGCCTCGGGTTTAATTTCCTCAATCAAAGAACATTTGGAGTGCCATCCCATATAAGAGGCATGAATCATTTGATAAGAGAGATCCAAGAAGCAATAAACTGTCCCTGCTGCTGCCAGGCGGCGACAAGAGAGCAAACACGGGGGGGGTTTGTGTGTGTGTGTGTGTGTGTGTGTGTGTGTGTGGAAACCTGCTGGCTTCTGTTTTAAAGACGGGGATTTTTTTATAACATGAACTTGGTTGTGTGGTTTCTTACATAAAATGTTTTTATTTGCATTTATAAATCCACAAATGCTCCGTGTGCAAACACTTCACATGTGTGCTTGTTAGCACTTCAAACGTTTGCTTGTTAGCCCTCAAACCAGCTCCGTTCCTGCCAGCTTTATAAATACGTTTTAATTTAGAAGTGATGGTAATTTCCCGG